CCCCCCCCCCCCGCCCGGGGATACACTCAAGCTTTTGCATGGGTATTGCTATAATAAAGAGTAAACGTTTATTGACAAGTGAATCGAATCAATCACACGTTTTATTTATAGATGAGATGTATATCTATGCTTGAGCCATCAAATTTCATTAAACTTCCAGCACCTATTTATGTGACAACACATATTTTGAATTTTTATGTAAAAATGATATTTTGGATATTTCTCAGTTACCACAAATAGTATGAAAGCAAAATTCTTGCCACAAGTTAAGCACAATTAGTGACTGAACACTCGTTTACATTTAGGCAGTGTTATTACCACAGGCACATAAAACGTCTCAATAAAAAAAATAATGTAAACACGAAATGTATTTACTACCAAAGTCTTAATGTTTCTCGACTCTATTTCGCTTATTATTGCCGATAATTACCCGTAAATGCTGGTCAAAAGCTCTCTTATTCATGTTGTTTGTGCACAGGGCGAGCGTGCGCCTGCGGCATACATGCTTTGTGTGATGCAGATGAGCATTCGACCGGCATTTACGGGTAATTATCGGCAATAATACTAATAGGCGAAATAGAGTAGAGAAACATTAAGACTGGTAGTAAATACATTTCGTGTTTATTTACCATTCTTTTTTTTAATTGAGACGTTCCAAGTGCCTGTGGTTTTTACAAGATTCTTTGCTCATCAGCTACATCAACCACCGACTGGCCTTCATCGAATCATACAGAAATCAAACCCGAGTCATACAGTGATATACACTCTGTGACACACATACACACATGCACAGAACACCTACCAAATCATACCTTTTTAGCAGTCTTATCAGCGCTAACCGAATTATCAATAATTCTCTTGGACTTTTTTGCTAGCTTTTGTGTCAGCGTGGGACTACATGACTTTTGGACAACAGGATTTTGGGATCCAACAAGAAATCGACGATGAGTACATGATGTGGTACGATTACCGGCACCCTCTTGCCACTGTTCCATGGTGGTCTTGCCATTGGTATTGTCCGACTGGAGTCCGCTCGACTCCGGTAGGGTGAATCCGATTGCCGGTAATTGTGTCGTTAGACCACTCATAGTTCACCTTTCAAAGAATTAGAACGCTAGCAATTTGGTTTATATGTAGCCTATTCTATAAATGATAACGTTGGCTGAACATTCTGCGAATATAATGTCTACACTTTCAGCTGGCACCATCGCGGCATCGGTATCATTACCAGTAGTCAGTACCACCACAGGTACTTGGAGCGTTTCAATAAAATATAAAAATAATGCTAAATAAATACGAAATCTATTTACTATCAGTCTTAATGTTTCTATACCCTCTTTCACCTACTATTGCCGACAATTTCCTGCAAATGCCGTCCAAATGCTCATCTGCAACAAACGCTGGCTGCCGCCACCCCCATGGCTGCCGTTCCATACTGACACATGAATATATAGTTATTATATATTTATATTTTTGTCTATATTTATTTTATTATTTGTGTGTGTCAGCGTGCGGCAGCGTGCATGCGGTGTGCATGTGTGTTGCAGTGGAGCATTACACGACATTTACAGGAAATTGTCGGCAATAATAGGCGAAAGAGATTACACTAGACTCACATTAGAAAAGAGATTACGAAAGAGAAACATTAAGACTTTGGTAGTAACTAGATTTCGTATTTATTTAGCATTATATTTTATTGAAACGCTCCAAGTGCCTGTGGTGGTACTGACTACTGGTAATGATACCGATGCCGC